CAGGTAGGGAGGACTCAGCCCTGTGAGGCTCACTCCTGCAGGTAGGGAGGACTCAGCCCTATGAGGCTCACTCCTGCAGGTAGGGAGGACTCAGCTCTGTGAAGCTCACTCCTGCAGGTAGGGAGGACTCAGCTCTGTGAGGCTCACTCCTGGAGGTAGGGAGGACTCAGCTCTGTGAGGCTCACTCCTGGAGGTAGGGAGGACTCAGCTCTGTGAAGCTCACTCCTGCAGGTAGGGAGGACTGTTGCAGCTTCTTTGAGGAGCTGATTTTCAAGCAGACTTGAGGAACCAACTTTTCAGCTCTCCAGGACAGGCGCTGACAAGGCGAGCAGATGGCAGGTGCAAAGGCTGTTTGTAGGCTGTCCTGGGAATGTCGAGACAGCCCGGGAGCCGCTGGAGCCCCCAAGCAAGCAGTGACATCCAAGAATAAGGCAGAAGAGGGACACACGGCACTCTGGGGCTCTGGGGGCCGTGCTAAAGGCTTTAATGTTTGTTGTGAGTCACTGGCACATCTTTGGAGGATTTGAGCAGGGGAAGGACATGAGCGGGCTACACATTCGGACAGGAATGTAGCCAGAGCTGAGCGGCCACCTTCTGTGGGCCAGGCCCTGTGCTCGGTACCAGGGGGAGTCTAGTTGGTGGGGTTCTGGGGGGTCTTCAAAAGTGGCTTTTAAAACTAAATGCAGTCTCAGCCTATTGTCAAGCTATGGCCTGTGTTGATGACTTTTGGCTGGGTAGGGCTCTAAATGCATTTACTCCGGCGCTGTTTTCTTACAAAGGTTTTGGCAACGCCATGGGCCCCTCCCCGGGGCTCCGGGGTCCCCAACTCAGCATCACATTTGCAGGCCTGCCTCCGGCTGTCGACGTAGAGCAGCTTCCTCCGCCCACCTCACCTGCCCCCCTTGGCATTCTGTGTCCACGTTTGCGCCTTTTCGGTGGCCTCCTACTTCCCACTGTCCTTAGTTGCCCTCTCCTGTCACCTGGAACCCGTTTCCCTTGTCACCTTTCTGGTTACCTTTTTCCTCATGGGCTATGACTATAGAACCAGACTGACTGCCTGACCCACATCTGACAGCGGAGAGGATGCCTCAGGTGTGGAGTTGTCCTCAGAGGAGGTTGGGGAGCCCACAGCCAGAGTCCCCAGCCCTGCGTCTGCCTGTGGCTCTCTTCTCAGACCTTTCCCGCATCCCAGATAGATGAGGTCGCGGCCTGGTGGCTTCTGATCATTGGGGTGGCGTAGCCATCCATGGGAGGCCACGTCCAGGAGATGGGCGGGCCGAGGGGGCAGCGAGCCCTGGTAACCTCCCTGCTGGGGCTCGGGGGCAGGTGGGAGGCGCTGCAGGCGCTGGCCAGCGAGCCGTGGGAGCAGCACGTCCTGATGGCCGAGCAGGTGGAGGACGCCACCAATGGCTTCTTCAGCGCCCTCGCCAGCTCTGCCGTCTGCGCCACCGCCAGCCCAGGTGAGACCTCGGGACGTGGGAGGAGGGAGCTTTCCCAGATGGAAGCGGGTGTGGCAATGGGAAGGCTCCCGCCGGTGGCCAGGACCACCAGGGAGGGAGCAAGGAAGGACGGCTGGAGGCCACGAGCCTCCACCCTGGCTCTGCTCTGTCCCCCACCCCAGTCAGGCCCTGTGAGTGTCTCAACTGGGCCACCTGACTGACCTGGGGGTGGGGTGGGGACTTGGGACCCAGGTCTGTAGGGCCCTTCCTCCCCCGCTCAGGAGAAAGCACCAAGCCAGCTCCTCCACTTAGGGCTGCACCAAGAACTGCAGCTTGGGGTGTGACCCGAGTCGGCTTCCTCAGGGTTCAGCCAGGGGCCAGGGTGCTGTACGGTGCTCACACGCACATGTGTGCAGGACATGGGGGCTGCGTGGGCAGGGCCTTTGCGACTGGGGAGCAGACGCCTCCTGGGGTGCTCAGCCTTGAGTGAGGCAGCAGGGAGCCGGCAAGGGTGTGGGGCATGGAGGGCAGAGCAGCGTAACCCCGCCTTTGCCGTGGACACAGCCTGCAGGGTCCAGCCTCACCCCTGTGAGCGCAAGACCCTGGAAACCGTCAGGGAAGCTGCTGGCCACGCCCTGTGCTGGAGAGGCTCCCCGAGGACCTACGCCATGCTGACCACACTCTGTCCCTTCTCCAGGTTCGTCGGTCTGGGGTCAGAGCCCGGGGCGGGGGGGAGGCCCCCAAGGCTGAGTGCTCATAAGCTGCAGAGAACAACTAGAGCCCGCTGCCATGTGCCCGGAGGCCTGCCGGCCGCAGGGACAGAGCTCTGGAGAGAGTCACACACTGTCCAGGCGCTGCCGGGAGCGAGGGTGCCGGGACAGAGCGCACGGCTGGGCGGCGAGGGAGGGAGCCCCGAGGCGTGCACGCGAGACAGTGGACTGGCCACTGGCTTCTTTGATAACACAATGTCCACGTCCACAAGAATTTTCCAGGCAAGAGGCTTCGGTGAATTCCGGCTGTAGTGGCTGTGGCCGGCTGGTTCTTAGGCCCGAGCTCAGGCAGTTAAGGTCACCTGCTGCCCGCTGCGGCCAGTCCCCTGAGGCCCTCGACCGTCCCGGTGCTTGAGCCGGAGCACCTCCTACCCAGTGCCTCTGCTCGGCACTTGGTGCCCACCCCCGCTCCTTTCTGGAGCCTAGGTGGCATTGCGCCCCCTGCATCTTGGCCCCTGGTCTGCCCTGAACCGTGAGCTCAGAGCAGGAGCACGGTGTGGACGTGGGTTGCCGAGGAGGCGCGAGGGTCGGGCTGGGCCTCGGGGCTGCCCCCTCGGCAGGGTCCCAGGCCACTTGGCAGCCAGGGTGCCCCGGGGGGTCAGGGGAGTGGGGCTTTGAGCCATGTCAGAGGCTCCTGGAGGTTTCTTGCAAGTATGGAGGTGTTCCTCTGTCCCCCCGGGGAGCAGTCCTCAGCGCCCGCTGAGCCAGGCAGTGCACCGGGGGACAGGCTGCCCCGAGGAGCTGGTGGTCTTGAGAGGCCGTTGGATGGAAACCCAGGCGCCAGGAGGGGCCCGTCGGAGCAATCCTATAAGGTGCCTGGGAACGAGGTAGCAGAGGTGCAGGCTCTGTGAGCCGGGAGCGCCAGGAGAGGACGCTCTCCTGGGTCCCACACTGGCCATTGCTTTGGGCTGACACACCGCTGCCAGCTGCTGGACATGTCATGCCGGTTTCCCTGCACAGCCCTCTGCCTGTCCCTGCAGCCGCAGGGACCTGAGGCCCCACCGGGCCGCCGAGAGCACCCGGCACGTTAAAATGCCCTGAGACCAGGTCTGGGGTGCTTCTCTCCCTCCAGAGCTACTCGCTGCGGGCCCCCCTGGCTCTGGGCACTGTGCAGGTACTGGGGGGCTCAGCATGTCAGTTCACAGGGTGGTGGGGTGAGGAGCAGTGACACGCTGAGTGCCTAAAGTGCACCACCGGGTGGCGGTAAGTGCGGCAGAGAATGATGCGGGCTGACAGGCTGGGGTGGGCGGTGGTTGGGGTGTGGCTGCAGTGGCCTTGCAGAGAGCTGGAGCTGCATCCAGAACTGAAGGAGGTGCCGGATGAGCCAGTTCAGATCCAGGCCCACCCTTGGCACGCGTCTGTGCCAGCAGGCAGCCTGGGTGGGGAAGGGCGGGACTGAGGAACTTTCTGGGTGAGGATATGTGTTTGATGAGGTCAGGAGGAGTCAAACACGGAGAGTTGGAAGATTTCTCTAACCAGCTGGCAGCTTGGCAAACGGGGGGTTTCAGCCACTCCTTGAGTCCTTCATTGACTTGGCTTTTATTCTGCGTGGATGTTGTTGCCCCTGAAAGACCCTGTCTGGAGTGAGCCCAGTCAGCCTGTCTCTGGGGTAGGCAGTGCTGGGCCCGTCACTGAAGAAGTGCTCCTTGGAAAACTAGAGGATTTTTTGCCAGGCCCAAAAGGAGACTCCCCTTAGGTGAGCCGCTGTCAGTCTAGAGGAGGGGGCGCTGCCCCTGGGGTCGGGCGGGAGCACCCAGGACTCGGGAAATTTGTAAGATGAGCCCCAGAGAGGGGATTGGCAGTTGGGTGGGGGTCTCTGGACCCAGCTTTGTTCCGTGCTGGTAACCATGTGACTTGGGGCAACATAATTCAGCCCTCTGAACCACTCCTGGAGGAGGCAGCTAACTTCAGGGAGCGGTGGGTTTGAGGGGATGGTGGGCGCGTGGAAGCCCCCAGGAATAGTGGGGGTGTGCTGCCTCAGAATGTTAATGCTCAAAAGGCCTCAGAGGCCGTGGCGGCTGGTGGTGTCAGCTTCCTCTTGAGCTGTGAAGCTGCTCACGTGCACAGTGTGTGTCCAGGTGGGGTGAAGAGAGGGGGTGTGGGCGCAGTCTTTCAGCTTCCTTTCTTTCCACTGAGTTGAAAATTACGCATGGGTACTCTTTAGAAGAGAGAACTGAGGACCGGAGGAGGAAAGCACCTGGCCTGGGATCACACAGCCTGAGCCCAGGTGCCCGGGTCCCGGCAGCGCCCCCGGCACGGCCCACCCACCGCGAAGTTGGCCCCAGAGACTAACTGGTCATAGAAAGCTGCCCCACTCCAGACAGGCCGCGTCTCTGCTGACGTGACGTAAACTTGCATTATCTTTTAATCGTCTCTGGGTAGTTTGAAACAATCCCTCCTCTGTGTGTGCATGGAAACTGAGGTAGATTCAAGGAAAAAAAAAACCAAAAAACAACCAGATGGCATTTTCCTTGACCCGCTTCTGAGCTAGCAGCTTATTTCAGCTTTTAGTACTTAAAATGACCTTCCTGGAAAACCTTTGACCTCTACCATTTGTTTCCTTGGTGTGTAGCTGGAAGAAAGTTTTCTTGACCCACCCTGCCACTTGCTACAGGACTACCTGCCCAGGTACCGTCCGCTCTTCCTGGGTCCTGGGATTGGGGGTTCTAATGGGGGGTGCCCTCCTGGACAGGTGCATCTCCTGCCACCACAGTCTTCTCACCTGCGGCAAAACTTAATCTCCTTTTCAAAGGCCCTAGCTCCAAATACAGCCACTTTCTAAGCTACGGGGGGGGGGGGGTAGGACTTGACTTGTCATAGGAAATTGGGGCGCACCATGCAGCCCATCACATGCGTGTGCCCAGTTTCCTCGTGGTCTGGGGGAATGAATGACAGGGTTGGCCTTGGGGATAGGGCGTCCTGCCAGCCTCACGCCTTGGGGCTGATGTGTCCAGCTGTTAATGGGCATCTCTCTGGTAGGTCCTTGTGACTCACAGCCCTGCCAGAACGGAGGCACGTGTGTTCCAGAAGGACTGGACAGGTACCACTGTCTCTGCCCACCTGCCTTCGGAGGGGAGCCCAGCTGTGGTAAGCCTGGGGGTGCTGCCGCTGGCTGGTGGGGCACAGCATCCCGCTCCCCTCTCCCCTCTGTCCTTCTAGCTGTTAGGTCGAAACTGGCCCTTGAGTTTTAGAGCCACCCGCTTTGCAGGGAGACCCCTGATCTGAGGTCAAGTTTGCGGTGCTCCCTACACATGTGACTGAGCTGGTGAGGCCCTGGCTGGGACAGGGGTCCCCTGGCTGTAGAATGACCACTGCTCGGTACTGTACCATGGCAGGGTCCAGCTGCAGGGGGCGGCCCCGCTCTGGGGCCTGGTTCAGACAGAGTCTTTTCTCGCCTCTTCCAGGGAGAGGGGAAAGGACTCTTAGTACCGTTTGCTTTGGAAGGTATGAAATAAAGATTCTCCTTTTTTTTTTTTTTTTTTAATGTAGGATAAAGGACCAAAATGAACGACACATGTTTGGACAGTTTTTGTTGCCGTAAATATTAGGCAAATGGGTCAGACTGAGCACTTCTATCCCAAGCTAAGGAGTGGGGTAGGAGCCTGGAGAGAAGGGATAATGAGCTGATGATTCTGGCTGGCTGTTAACTCACAGGATTATTGGGAGCTGGAAATAAGTTTATGTATGTAAAGTACTTAGCTCAGCGCTTGAAAGGTAGTAGGGGCTTGTTCAGCAGCTTTTTTAGAGTGTAGAGCCAGGTCCATGGGCCTCCGTAGAAGAAATCAAGCTTGACCCCCTACCTAGCAAGCTACATGAAAATCACTTCCAGGGGAATGTAAAAGGCAGAGCAGTGAAGCTTCTGGAAGTAAGTGGCGTTTTGCCAAACAGGACATGAGATGCACTAATCATGAAAAAACAGTCAGAAGGTAGTGGCACATTCCCTACTGAGAAGTGGTCAGGAGTTGGGGGGGGGCACACTTTGTGGCTAGCCCTGTCTGACTGTCCGCTCTGCTCACCAAGTCCCTGGAGCCTCAGTTTCCCAGGCGTGTCTCCCTCCTGGGAGGTGGGTTTCTCCAGGCCCCCTTGGTGGGCGGATGTCCCGGTGGTACCTGCATGCTCCCAGTAGCCACGGGGTGATCGCTGCTGCGATTCTTGCAGCCCCGAAGCTGAGCCTGGATTGCAGAATCGACGTCCTTTTCCTGCTGGCCAGCTCGGCGGGCACCACTCTGGAGGGGTTCCTGCGGGCCAAGGCCTTTGTGAAGCGGTTCGTGCAGGCCACGCTGAGCGAGGACTCCCAGGCCCGCGTGGGTGTGGCTCGGTACAGCCGGGAGCTGGTGGTGGCAGTGCCCGTGGGCGAGTACCAGGATGTGCCAGACCTGGTCAGGAGCCTGGACAGCCTTCCCTACAGTGGCGGCCCCACCCTGACGGGCAGTGCCTTGCAGCAGGCAGCAGAACGAGGCTTTGGGAGCGCCACCAGGACAGGCCAGGACCGTCCGCGCAGGGTGGTGGTCCTGCTCACGGAATCGCACTCCCAGGACGAGGTGGCCAGCCCGGCGCGTCACGCGAGGGCCCGAGAGCTGCTGCTGCTGGCCGTGGGCAGTGAGGCCGTGCGGGCTGAGCTGGAGGAGGTCACAGGCAGCCCGAAGCACGTGATGGCCTATATGGGCCCGCAGGACCTGTTCAACAAAATCCCGGAGCTGCAGCGGAAGCTGTGTGGCCGCCTGCGGCCAGGTAAGGTCCCCTGCTGTGTCAGCTGCAGATTAGCCGTGATGACCAGGGTCAGCGCATCACGGGGCAATCCCAGCCTTCCCACCCCATGCCTGCCTGCGCTAGGGGCTGGAACGATGTGCCACGTAACTTCAGTGTACTGGTCAATGAGACTGATCGTAGCACCTTCCCAAGGGCATTTGGGAGTCTGGAGACGTGTACACTGTACAGAGCCTGTACTCGGTTAGCTGCATTAGTAATTCTGGTTACCAAGGAGCTCTGATGGTACTGCGCGTGCTCTAGAAAAGCAGCTTCCCAGCTTCTTCCTGCAGCCCTCAGATGCACTCCCAGAATGTGCATGCGTACGTACATACGCTCACACACGAATGTTTTATGAAATACTTGGCTTTTCTACCTGGGGTGCATTCTGGCTTCATTCTGTGATACATCCCAGCAAATGAAATTGATCCCACGACCCACCACTAGAGGGCACTCGGGAGAACACCGCCCCTGGGATTAGCCATTCCCATGGGTGGGCAGGTGCCTGGCCATGGCTGAAGATGGCACGGAATGGCTGACAGGCCCCAATTTCTACTCCACGGAGGTGGGAGATGAGTATTACTTCTGGTGGGAGTGCATGTCCGTCCCAGCAGGTGGACCTAGCTGCCAGGGAGGCTAGGAGTGGGGTCCAGCTAAGTATTTGGCTGTCCTGCTGACACCCTAGGGGTGGGGGGAGGACTGGCAGTTGACAGATGGCAGGTGAGCAGATATGGCTCTTCCTAAGCTAGTGTAGCTCCCACTCTGCTGTCCAGAGCTGCCCCCGAGGCCCACCCTGTTGTTTCCACAGGCTGCAGGACACAGTCGCTGGACCTGGTCTTCATGTTGGACGCCTCGGCCTCAGTGGGCCCCAGGAACTTCGCCCAGATGCAGAGCTTTGTGAGAAGCTGTGCTCTCCAGTTTGACGTGAACCCTGACGTGACACAGATTGGTCTGGTGGTGTACGGCGGCCTGGTCCAGACGGCCTTTGGGCTGGACGTCCACCTGACTCGCACGGCTGTGCTGCGGGCCATGAGCCAGGCCCCCTACCTGGGCGGGGCAGGCTCGGTGGGCAGGGCCTTGCTGCACATCCACGACAAGGTGATGACTGTCCAGAGGGGTGCCCGGCCTGGGGTCCCCAAGGCTGTGGTGGTGCTCACGGGCGGGACAGGTGTGGAGGACGCGGCTGGCCCTGCCCAGAAGCTGAGGAGCAACGGCATCTCTGTGCTGGTGGTGGGCGTGGGGCCCGTCCTGAGTGGGGAGCTGCGGAGGCTCGCAGGCCCCCGAGACGCCCTGATCCACGTGGCCGCCTATGAGGACCTGCGCTGGCACCAGGACCCGCTCATCGAGTGGCTGTGTGCAGGTGAGGAGGGATCCTCACCCTGGGGGCTGGCCCCAGGGATGGGTGCTGGGCCTCCCGAACACCAGCACAGGACAGCAGCTGCTCCCAGCGCTGTGGGTGCTTTCTGCTTGCCAGGTGCATGAGGGGTCTGAGCCAACCTGCAGGGCACAGCCTTGGCATTCAGGGTGTAGAGAACGTCAGGGACACAGACCCCCTCTTCCCAAATTTAAGGATTACGTGCTTCGTTTGAACAGACGCCACTGTTGGGACTCCCGTAGAGCCCCGAGGGCCTAGGGGCCCCGGGGTGACAGTGACCAGGCTTAAGGAGGTCAGAGCTAGGACAGAGGCAGCCAGGCCAGCCCGACTCCCAGCCTCCTGCGGGGAGGGAGAACCTCCTTTCTGCCTCTGAAAAACACGTGGCTGTAATAACAGTAAATGGAGCACACCTAAGACCCCTCATGCACCTTGGGGACCTGGGTGGAAGGTGGGTCCCCTTAACCAAGCCGTCGGAAGCACCAGCCATGTGCTGGCCTGTTGCCCAGGGGCCCAAGGAGCCACCCACTCGAGGCTTCCCGTCTGGCTGGGTTTCCTTAGAGTAGGCGCTTGGGGATGACCGTGGCGGGGCCTGGCGGACTCATTTACTCCCGTAGAAGCCACGAGGCCGGTGAACCTCTGCAAACCCAGCCCGTGCATGAACCAGGGCGCCTGCATCCTGCAGCCTGGGAGCTACCGCTGCGAGTGCCGGCCGGGCTGGGGGGGCCCGCACTGCGAGAACCGTAAGTGGGGCTTGCTGGACGCCTGAGCTGCGGTGGCGTTCTGAGCCCGCCGGGCCACAGGCCCTTGGCTGAAGCAAGTTCTACGTGTGTTTGTTTGCTCAGGGAATGGGTTCCTGCTGAGGGGGAGGGGTGGTGATGCTAAGGCTTGAGAGAAGGAGGAAGAGGATGATCTGCGAGGGAGGGAGGGAGGGAGCAGACGGAACCTGCAGTTCCTGTCCACACCTGGAAATTAGACCAAACAGCCACCAGAAAACAGCTCCTCTGAGGGCTGGCTTGCCCACCTGCAGGCGGGCTTCCCAGGGAGCAGGGGTTCTGGTG